CACAGCAGCGATTTATATCATATAGTTGTTAAGTATAACTTTTTATTAGAAAATCATGCTAGGGAAATGAGTATAATGAATGAATGAAACCTGTTGCAAAGTACAGAAGGAGAGGTCTGTCCCTAGAAAAAAATTTAACATTCAAATATTTATTGTTTATATGCTAAAAAGAAAATAAACAAAAAGTAACCAACACACGTGAAAATAATAAAGCGAAACTGGGTCTAAATAGTTATTGGGGAGAGAAAAAACATAGCGACGGACATACGCTGGATAAAGATTAGTTTGGGGGCTAATCGAGTGTCTAATAGTGCTAGAGATACAAATGTACTGGGAAAGTCACCCTATAAACTGAAAGCCTTTATCCCGTTCAGCCAATATTTACGGGCAAGACAGAATTGCTCAAAAGACCTTAAATTCTACCAAGAATGTCAACTCCTAAGGACACGATTCAAGACACTGGGTTTTAAAAAGAGCCTTTCAATGAGTCAGTCAAATAGATAGACTCACCAGTCTAAAAACAACCAACACTAGACAGGACTCAGACACCCCGAGGTGCATTGCCACCTTCGACCAGGGTTAGAGCCCCATGTCTCACATCCTCACCAACAATTGGCCAGTCTTATTACATAATCTCTGCCTGAAAAAAAGTCTCACCTGACCACCCATCCATGACTGCACACAGATCAAGAAATCTACAGGACTTACTCGTCCACACTCATCTGGCAACAACACCCAAACAAACCAACTGGCTATCATAAACTGAAGGGACCTACAGATGTGGACATTGTAGGGCGTGTCAATACATTATCTCCTCCAAGTCTCTCCAATCAATCCAATCCAAGATCACGGTTGAGATCAATGCACTGGTGAACTGTGGAACCACACATGTCATATACCTCATCACCTGCAGCTGCGGCATACAATATATAGGCAAAACATTCCAGCAATTTCGACGTAGGGTACTACACCAGGTTGCATCAATTAATAATACCATCATCCCCACGCCAGTTGCGAGACATATCAATTTTCATAAAGGCAAACCAGAAAATCTAAAATTTCAAGTAATTGAAAAACTCTTACCTAACCCGAGAAATGGGATATTTAACAGAACATTGCTACAAAAGGAATCTTAGTGAATTTATTCCTTTAAGACTATGGGCCCTTAAGGGCTAAATTAAGAATTTAACTTCACCTCTTTTATACATAATTAATGGCACTCTCAGTTTGAGTTTCATTTCGTTGTTCATTTTTGTTTTTTGCTTTTGTACATTCATTTTTCTTTATCATTAGTCATCCACTATTATACACTCTGTTATAGTTATTATTTTTACCACACTTTCCTCCCTAGCCACCCTATACTACAATTATCATTTTTTTTTATTAACACACATTTACCTATAGGCTCATTCCAACAGCCCAAGGCATCATTGTTTCAAAATATGTACATAAAGCCTGGGCACTATGTGTATTTTAGTCATACATTACCTTCTGGTAAATTCATCTACATCCCGATATCCTGTATTCTTACCTACCAACTTTGCTTTTCACATAATTGTTTCTCCTTTGAGCCACTGTATTCCACAGACTCCGGATAACGTCATCAAGTAACGTTTAAATCCTGATTGGAGTAACAGGTGGGCTATTTAAACTTGAACCACTGGAGAGTCAGTTCCCCCTGAAGAGCCGCAGACCGCCGAAACGCGCGTCATCTTTTGGACTTTGGTTCTCTATTAGAGGCAGGCAGCTAGACAGTTATTTGCTAACAGATAGGTGCCCTCAAAGGCACAGATAGACTTAGCTCCTCTCCAGAACTCCCTTGTTCTCAGTTTGAGGCAGCCAGCTAGACTTTTGACTGTAGATAGGTGCCCTTGAAGGCACAGTCAGTCTTACCTCCTCTTAAGAACCTTCTGATATCTGTACAGGTGTCAGACGGCATCCTATCAGCTGAGATTACTAGGCAGAGAGCTATCTAGTTTTTTTGTGACATATATAGCTCTAAATATTGAAGGCACAGATACATCATTTTATTCTTTCTCTTATTAGTTACTCTCCTGCTGTTATTGCCAGATTATATTACTAAGCAGTCAACAGTTATTACTATATCACTACACCTGATCGCTCATGATATTTTCTGTTTATACATACCTGATTCTGCCGCTATAATCATTTTTTTCTGTTTTTTTTATCTGGGTAAATAATTTTGTCTATGCTTGCAATTGATACTTAATTAATTGTACACCCGGTGGAAAGATCCCTATGAGACACTATTTTTAGCCTATATCATATGACTTGTATCACCGGCTAGGCTACAGTGTTTCCCTCTACTGGTTCTGACTCTCTGCTACATGTGTATCTCTAGCACTATTAGACACTCGATTAGCCCCCAAGCTAATCTTTACCCAGTGTATGTCTGTCGCTATGTTTTTTCTCTCCCCAATAACTATTTAGACCTAAGTTCACTTTATTATTTTCACGTGTGTTGGTTACTTTTTGTTTGTTTTCCTTTTAACATATAAACAATAAATAATTGAATTTTAAATTTTTTTTCTAGGGACTGAGCTCTCTTTCTGTATCCAACAGTGTGTGGACTAAAGATAATTTGCAATCATTGAACAATTAAGAGAACAAGATGGGCTCATGGCCTGCTCATAAACACCACTGGGGAGAGACCATCATCTGACATAATTTTAGCTAAAATAAATGTTCTGAAAGGAGCTATAGACGACATCCTAGTCATTCTGAATCTGGAAACATAATCATGGTTATTGGTACGTGTGATTGTCATGTCAGATTTCGGATTTCATTGCAGTTCTTCAGCATAATACTCTTTAAGATATCCACAAGTATTAGAAATATGATTTAGAATTAGTGGAATTGTGTACTTACTAATGTAAAGGGATTTAGGATTAGCAGAATGTGTAGATTGCATTCTCCTTATATAACAGAAGATCAAGTATAAAGCAGTTTAGGCTCTAATATACTGTGAAGTACAGAATAGGGCCTGTAGATGTATTCTCTATTTTCTCTCTCCCTACAGGACCAGCAATCACGATAACCACTACTAGCCCAGAAACAAATGAACCTCCACATGGCATGCATTCCCCAAATTAAGGGAGGTCTGGCAAATGGAACCAAGGGCTCCATCAGCATCAAACGGTCTAAGGATGTCTGCAATGACAAAGGACTGAAAAGAAATGGATGCAGAGACAGAAGAATTAGTACAAGCTTTGAGTATACCATCTCCCATTGAGTATATATCTCTCATCTTGGTCTGTATTTCCACTCATTCACTATTTACACCTGCAAGCAGTTGTTTACATCTCAGACCTGAACTATTGCAATCCTTACAAAGGAAGCCAAAGACATTATGGCCACAACAACCTCTAACAGTGGCACAACCATTCTCACATAACTCTATTTAACAAATGTGTGTGTGTGTGTGTGTGTGTGTGAAGGGAATAAAGCAGAGGTTGTAGAGGTACTAGTTGATATAAAATAGACTTCTCTCTAGTCATCTGCAAGATCACAGATTAAGCCAACTAAGCCAACAGATTAATTCCATTTATATCAGCCATTGCCACCTCGGTAGCAGCTAATTCATCCGCTGCAACAGCTTACACTGATCAACCACAATAGTTAAACCATCTGCCTAATATTGTGTAGGTTCCCCTTGTGCTGCCTAAACAGCTCTTGCACATGGAGGCATGGACTCCACAAGACCTCTGAATGTGTCCTGTGGTATCTGGAACCAAGACATCCAGCAAATCCTTTATTATTATTATTATTTAATATTTATATAGTGTCATCAGATTCCGTAGCGCTGTACAATGGGTGGACTAACAGACATGTAATTGTAACCAGACAACTGGACGTACAGGAACAGAGCGGGTAGGGTGCCCTGCTCAATGAGATTACATTCTAGAGGGAGTGGGGTATAGTGACACAAAGGGTAAAAGTAGGGGTACAAAGTAAGTTGCTAGAAAAGTATTCATTGAGGGCTTCGTAGGCAATTTTTAACAGTTGCAGGAGAGGAGTCATGGTGGTGGGGGATAAAAACCTGCTAATAGTTTAATTGATATAATTTCTCGAAGAAGTGAGTTTTCAATGATTTTTTTGAATGAGTGGAGACTGGGTGAAAGTGTTACGGAGAAGGGAAGGGAGTCCCACAGAAGAGGTGCATCCCTGGAGAAATATTGGAGGCGAGCATTAGAGGTGGAAGTACGGACAGAGGATATAAGTAGGTCTCGACAGGACGTACTTGTGTATTAGGGAGTATAGGTAGGTTGGAACAGCATTATGTAGGGACTTGTAAGCAAGCACCAGAATTTTAAATTGAGCCCTATATCTAACCGGAAGCCAATGCAGGGAGAGCGGGGAGGCATGGGAGGTGTGAGCGGACAGGAAAATTAGGCTTGTGGCTGCATTCATTATAGATTGCAGTGGTGCAATCTGGGAACACGTAAGACCACTGAGAAGGGAATTGCAGTAGTCAAGGTGAGAGAGAACAACAGCATGGTCTTTAATTCTTTAAGTTGTGTGGTAGGGCCTCCATGGATCGGAGTTATTGTTCCAGCACATCCTACAGGTGCTTAATCAGATTGAGATCTGGAAAATTTGGAGGCCATGCCAACACAAACTCTTTGTCATGTTCCTCCAACGATTCCTGAACAATGTTTCAGTGGCCACTGCCATCAGGGAACACACTTTTGCCATGAAGGGGTGTACGTGGTCTGCAACAATCTGTAGGTAGGTGGTACATATCAAAGTAACATCCACATGAATGCCTGCCAGGGCCGCCTTCAGCATTGATTGGACTCTGGGCAAGCATTTGCTTGGGCCCCCTGGATCCTGCCTTCCCCCCACACACTTCCACTCCTTGGCTTGCAATCATGCCCTCCACCCCAACACAGTGGCAGAACTAATGTAGAGAGGGCCCTGGTGCAAGACATTTTTTTGGGCCTCCCCTCTAGCGCAAGAGTGGAGAAAAGATAGATCATCATCATCATGCTACGTACAATACCCATGATGCTATGCTAGCTGGGGATCTACCATTTGGCCATTCTTGCAGGGCTGTATTTGTGAGCAGTGTTTGTGCATTTGAATGTGAGAATGTTGTTGTATAGAATATGTGTGTGCATGTAAGGTGTAGTGTTGGTGTTTGAGTGAAGGGGTATGTTTCTATATACTTTTTGAGTTCGAATTCAGTGGTGTGTTTGCATGTTGTGTTTGATTGCTGGGGTGTATGACATATATTCACAGATATACATACACATTAACACACTTATACATGTACACATCTGGACACATGCACACACTGACACAAACAGACTGGCGTATACACACACAGACACATACATACTCACACATGCACACACACTTAGAGATAAAACCACTGGCACATCCACACACAGATACACACTGACACAGATATGTACACACACGAGATACACACAGACACACAGGTACAGATGCAGGGGTGTATTTGTGTGCAGTGTTGGTGGTGGAATGCTGGGATGAATGCATTGCCACACAGTTGCACACTTACACAAACACTGAGATACACACAGGAACACAGAAACCCTTGCAGTGGTGTATTTGTGTGCAATGTCATTGTTGGAATGCAGGGGTGTATTTGTGTGCAGTGTTAGTGTTGGAATGTAGTAGTGTATTTGTGTGCAGTGTTGGTACTGGAATCATGGGATGTATACATTTCCACATGCATAGATACACACTGACACACACTGACACTCATATACACACACAGGTACACATACATAGACACATACAAACTGACACACAAGTACACATACACAGGTATACATACACACAGATACACATAAACACTGACACAAAGGTACACATACACTGACACAAACATAGTCAGAAACACACACTGACACAGCCAGGTACACACACACAGCCAGATACACACATATAGTCAGATACACACACTGACACACACAGCCAGATATACACACACACAAATACACACATTCAGCAAGATACACACACTGAGAAACACAGCCAGATACACACACATACAGTCAGATACACACACACAAACACACACACACACAGCCAGAAACACACATATAGTCCGATATACATACTGACACACACAGTCAGATATACACACACACAATACACACATACAGCAAGATACACACACTGGCAAACACAGCCAGATATACACACATACAGTCAGATATACATACAGTCAAATACACACACACACACAGTGAGATACACACATACAGTTTGATACACACAGTCAGTCAGATACACACACATACAGTGAGATACACACACATACAGTGAGATACACACATATACAGTCAGATACACACACACAGTCAGACACACACACACACACACACACACACACACAGTCAGATGCACACACATACAGTCAGATATCCACACATACAGTCAGATACACACATAGTAAGATACACACACACAGTCAGATACACACACACACACACACAGTTAGATACACACATCCAGTCAAATACACGCACACACACACATATAGTCAGATACACACACACAGTCAGTCAGATACACACACACACAGTCAGATACACACATACTCAGATATACACACACACAGAGTCAGATACACACATCCTGTCAGATACACACATACACACAGTCAGTCAGATACACACATACTGTTAGATACACACACACATACAGTCAGATACACACACATACACTGACACAAACACACTGGCACAAACAGCAAGATATACACAACGACAGAAACACAGCCAGATACACATACTGACACTCACATAGCCAGGTACACACATACAGCCAGATGCACACACTGACACAAATTCAGCCAGATACAGACATACAGTCAGATACATACACTGACACAAACACAGCCAGACAGCCAGATACACACATACAGTCAGATACACATACATACAGTCAAATACACACACAGTCAGATACCCACACATACAGTCAGATACACACGCATACAGTCAGATACACACACACAGTCAGATACACACACAGAATCAGATACACTCTCACACACACACACACACACAGAGTCAGATACACACACACACAGTCAGACACACACACACACAGTCCGATACACACACATACAGTCAGATATACACAGAGTAAGATACATACACATACAGTCAGATACCCACACACAGTCAGATACCCACACAGTCAGATACATACACACACAGTCAGATACACACATACAGTCAGATACACACACACACACACACACTCACACACAGTCAGATACACACATATACAGTCAGATACACACACACACAGTCAGATACACACATATACAGTCAGATACACACACATATAGTCAGATACACACACATACAGTGAGATACACACACACAAATATCAATTTACATAGTTTAGCCACCCTCCTGTCTCCTTACCTTTATATAAGGGTGGTTTCCCTGGCATCCAGTGGGAGCTGGATGGCTGAGGTTGATGGGAGTCTGAGGAACTTGGCTAACTCTTAATGGACCGGGGGCCCATGATTGCTTCACCTGCTGCAGCCCAACTGGATATTTCTCAGTATCCCAGTGGGCTGTTCAGACCTGGTTGCGGGCAGGGGACCTACGGGGCAGCTGCCTGGGGTCCAACAGGAGTAACTGGGCCTAGGGCAGCTGCCCCTTTTGCCCCATGTTAAAGACGGTTCTGGCCTGGACCCAAGGTTTCCCAGCAGAACATCGCCCAGACCATAACACTGCCTCTGCCGGCTTACCTTCTCAGCATCCTGCTGACATTTCTTCCCCATGTAAACACACACCAGCCATCCACCTGATCTAAAAATGTGATTCATCAGAATCAGGCAGCCTTCCTCCATTGCTCATTGGTCCAGTTCTGACACTACAAGTGTTCTTGTCATATACACCATAGTGCACTCAGCAACAGCTTTTTTTATAAACACTGTTAAACAGTGAATTGTCTGTGTCATATTTCCAGTTGCTACTTAAATAATGCTGTATTGGAATTTAATGCCAGGTTTACTAAAGACTCTGTTTAACTGTTAGACCACTCACATATAATATACAACTACATATGTATCACATTGGTGTTGTGCAGTCTTTGTCATGTGGTTCATAAAAATTCCATGCAGTGGTGCAGCAGTTACATATGGTATAATTTATGTACAGTTGTTAATGCACTTGGCAATACTTGTATCACATCACTCAATGTTAAACTTTATTATTTTTTTGAGTTTGTGGCATAACACACAACTTTTGACATGCAACACATGACACCAGATGTAGGTCAAAGCTAGGTGAATTAATATTCATGATGTGTACGTGTTTATTTAGCTTAGGGGTTGAAAACTTTTTCTGAACTTTTTCTGAACAAAATGAGTGTGTGAGTTTAATTTTACTCACAATCTAAAAATATAGCAATCTTTTTCTGCCGGTAACACTGTCAAAGTTTGAGTGATTGACACGGAGCTAAGATGTTGGCATCCAGTTGCAGGATAAAGAGAAGTGAGATTCTGTCCATATTATTGGCAAACAAAATAGACCCAACATATTAATATCTAAGTTCTCTAATTACATTAGAGTAACATTTGTATTTTATTAGCTTTAATTTATTAAAATCACTAATTAGTAAAAAAAATAATGATGCCAAAATGATACCCAGAATGAAAACTTGCATGTGTTTAATTATGCGTTTTTCATTGGGGGTATATCTACAAATAACTTGAAAATGCTGCAGGTCTCTTGTCTGCATCCTTTGCAAGCCTTCTCCTTTTTCCTAAGCCCAGACTTTCTGTGGCTGTCCAATCACAGACTTTCCTCTGGGAAATTGCCTATCTTTTGGTTTTAACGACACTTCGCTAAACAAACAGGAAGTAACCAGATAGATTGTGTGATTGACAGGCAGGGGGTTGTAACAAGGTTAATTTATAATAGTACCAATTGAAGATTATGCTAGCTTTAGTGTACTAATATTCTTAATTTTAATAAGGACAGGAAGCGAGTATTTTGCATTAACTCTCTTTACTAAACTCCACAGCAGTAAAGAAAACGCAAAGAGTAACAAGTAAATCACTGAGCAGCATAGTATATAAGGGTCATGCTGCCTGTACACTTCCTCTTTCTTGAAGCGACATCCAAGTCCAGATAGAGCTCGAACATCCAGAAACTCAACGAAAACTGTAACTGCGGTCTCTGGCGAGCGGAACTTGAGGAGACTCCTGGTAACGAGGTTGGAGGTAAGACCAAACGAAGCCTTCATCCCATCCTACGGAGTCGTGAGGTTAACAAACCAGTGACCAGTGGAGGTCCAGAAGAGGGTTACACTGAAAGGAGAGTATAAAATAGGTTAGGTAATGAACCGTAACTGTTCACGCCTGTGGGCTTTAACAGAATGGTGTAAATTAAATCAGTACAGACAGAGGGTAAGCTGGCCAGTGGCTAAATATGTGTTAGGTGTAAGCATGTTGTACAACTAAAATCTGTCCGCCTAGATGGCAATACTAGGGTGAGATGGAAGAGATTCCGAATATGTCTCGATGATAGAGAAACTACTAAAATCCCAATATTCGTCACCATGAGATCCACTCCCCCGAGGAGTCAGGGTAGGGAACAGAAGGGAGGGAAAACACTCGACTCCTGTCCTTATTAAAATTAAGATTATTAGTACACTAAAGCTAGCATAATCTTCAATTTTATAACATGACAGGAGGCTTCCTATTTTGCAATTTTAACGCTGAAGAAGAGACATCCCAGCAGAAGGGGGAGTGCGAAAATAAAAGGTACGGAAAGTAGATTCCCTAGACCAGTCCGCCGTTCGGAGAATATCCGAAAGGGACGCCCCTGCCAGAAAGGCTGATGAAGCCGCCGCTCCGCGAACGGAGTGGGCGCCGAACGCGGGGTCTATACCTGCGAGGGAAAGGATCCAGCGGATCCATCGGGCCAGTGTGGTGACCGAGACTGGGGCATGAGGGCGCACGTAGGAGACTAGGAGTTGACCCGACGTAGAGGACCAGAGTGAGGAGGTAACCGAAACATACCTGCGGAGGGTGGACACGACACAGAGCTGCGGGTCGTCGGGAAAAAAGGGGTAAAAGACTGAAGTCGAACCCAACTTAGTGCGACGAGAAATGTGGAACGCGACCCCTTCAGGGGCCACCTCGAAAGCATCAACGTCGAAGGCCCGAACGTCCGAAAACCCGTCGGAAAGACACTAGACAAAGGAGGAAAG